AATTTGAACAAAACAATAATAAAAATGAAACATTTTCCCAGTACTATTTGCATTTGGCAAATGCATTAATCCAAAATGACGTACAATGCATTATAGTTAACTATAAAATAATAGCACTACAATAAAATGAACGTTAACTGAAATAAAATAAAATATAAAGACTTAAACTTATTTTATTTCAGCTAGTTGTCAAAGGAAACATTTTTTCATTTTCATTCAGTTTAGCTTGATATACTAAAACAAAAATGAATAAAAACTATATAGATACATAATAAAAACAGTAATAAACATAACCAAAATTGCTAAAAAATGTAACTAAAATTAAGAATAAAAAAGGGAAAATATAAAAATGAATTCAAAATATTAATAAAAACCATAATAGTTTCTTAATACTATACACATCTGGCAGATGCTTTTATCCAGTGACTTACAAAGCATTATATTTAACTAAAACATGAAATGAAATGATCATTAACGGAAATAAAACAAAAAATATATATATTTAAAAAAAACTTAAACGCATTTTATTTCAACTAGTTGCAAAGACAGTATTTCTCATTTAGTTTAACGTGAGAAAACTATCATATTGTAGTTTATAATAGTTTTATATAGCATTGAAAACTATTATAGTTTCTCAATAATACTTGAAACAACACTGAAGGTTAAAAAGGACTTTCAAACTAAGTCTTGAACAGATTCTATTTAAATAACTAGAATTAGGTACTATACACATCTGGCAGATGCTTTTATCCAGTGACTTACAAAGCATTATATTTAACTAAAACATGAAATGAAATGATCATTAACGGAAATAAAACAAAAAATATATATATTTTAAAAAAACTTAAACGCATTTTATTTCAACTAGTTGCAAAGACAGTATTTCTCATTTAGTTTAACTTGAGAAAACTATCATATTGTAGTTTATAATAGTTTTATATAGCATTGAAAACTATTATAGTTTCTCAATTGGCATCACTAAAGCGTCATGCTGGGTTCTCTCGGCAAAGTTTTTATTGATAATTAAAACTAAAACAATAATTTGGTTACTTGAAATAAGATAAACGTTAACTGAAATGAAATAAAATATAGAAAAACTTATTTTCATTTAGTTTAACTTGATATTCTAAAACATAAACAATAATAATAGTAGCTATAGGCTCTACACATTTAAAAATAAAACCAAAAAATGTAATAAAAATAACAAAAAACTAAATTACTAAATTACTAAATAATTTGAACAAAACAATAATAAAAATGAAACATTTTCCCAGTACTATTTGCATTTGGCAAATGCATTAATCCAAAATGACGTACAATGCATTATAGTTAACTATAAAATAATAGCACTACAATAAAATGAACGTTAACTGAAATAAAATAAAATATAAAGACTTAAACTTATTTTATTTCAGCTAGTTGTCAAAGGAAACATTTTTTCATTTTCATTCAGTTTAGCTTGATATACTAAAACAAAAATGAATAAAAACTATATAGATACATAATAAAAACAGTAATAAACATAACCAAAATTGCTAAAAAATGTAACTAAAATTAAGAATAAAAAAGGGAAAATATAAAAATTAATTCAAAATATTAATAAAAACCATAATAGTTTCTTAATACTATACACATCTGGCAGATGCTTTTATCCAGTGACTTACAAAGCATTATATTTAACTAAAACATGAAATGAAATGATCATTAACGGAAATAAAACAAAAAATATATATATTTAAAAAAAACTTAAACGCATTTTATTTCAACTAGTTGCAAAGACAGTATTTCTCATTTAGTTTAACGTGAGAAAACTATCATATTGTAGTTTATAATAGTTTTATATAGCATTGAAAACTATTATAGTTTCTCAATAATACTTGAAACAACACTGAAGGTTAAAAAGGACTTTCAAACTAAGTCTGGAACAAATTCTATTTAAATAGCTAGAATTAGGTTTGTTTGGTTGGTTTTTAAAGGTGCACATCACGTGGTTTGGTTTCTTTGGTTGAAAAGCTATTTTACGAATTGAGGTGTTCACTTAGTCTAGGAAACCACACTGGAAAGTTCACCAGAAAACAGGTCATTTGGACTCACAAACATGGTTTGAAAGCAATCCGGCCTGGTTTTGAGTGAAGTGCTTATGATGACATTTAATTTGCCTGGTTTATTTATGTGCTACTTGCACACTGGAGTCAATTTCTGCTGAAACAACTCACATCCCTTACATCAGTTGCACACATAACACATTTATGTGGTTCAAATCCAATGAAAAAACTAGAAAGAAAGAAAACTGCTCCGCTGTTAAAGAAGGCATCTAATCAGATGTTTCTCCTACAGAACCTATGATCTGAGACCTACAGCAGACAGAAGAGAAAAAACTAGAAAGAAAGAAAACTGCTTCGCTGTTAAAGGAGAAGGCATCTAATCAGATGTTTCTCCTACAGAACCTATGATCTGAGACCTACAGCAGACAGAAGGAACCAGAGAAGAGCTGCTGAGAAGCACACATCACCTCTCACTCCAAACACACACCAACTGCCCAAACACAGACCGACAGCCAGAGCCGAACGGCAGAGAGCACATCCACCCGTGGTCTTCCTGAAGACACACCGGACCGGCAGCAGCACCGTGCAGAACATCCTGTTTCGACTCGGGGAACGAGAGAGCGCCACCTTCGCCTTTCCCTCCCACACTTACCAGTTTAACTACCCAGACAGGTAAAATGAGCACAGTGCATGCACATCACATTTCCAACAATGTTTCAGTATCTCCATAAGTTTAATTACATGTTAAAGTACTCCATTACCTGTTTCCATTCATCTCAGAGGTGTTTTGGTGCAGGGTCTTCTAGAAGTGCATGACCTGCTGCTGCTGTTTTTGGTCCCAAGTAGCTGAAAACTCTTCATTAGTGAATATTCTGGGTCAAAGACAACAGGTGGAGAAAATATGAGTCTATTTCACCATGGTGCTAACTGGACCAAGCTAATCAATCTAAGGCACCAAATGACAAAGATAAATACATAAAAGCCTCCAAAAACATCAACTATAGTAACGCAATTAAATATTTACAGTACAATTGATATGTTGCTTGCAAATTGGATTGTTGGCATACACAGCTACTTTTGAATGGAGAAAGATGAATTTTGACAGTAAATTAGTTACAGCATGGGGCTAACTTGGCCATGCTAAACATGCTAATGAATCACCCGAAGACAATTTAAGTCCATTTCACAATCTGAAGAACCTTCATCTCCTATAATATCATAAAATTCTTACAAAATAAGTTGTTTGCAATGCGCTTTGGTAGCATACATGGCTAGTTTGAATGGTTGTCAGTGGAAAAGGATGCATCTTGACTGAAAAACTGGTTGCAGCATGGGGCTAAAGGCAAATTGCTAAAATGGCAAATTGGTTTGTTAGCATACATGTCTTTTCAATGGCTGTCAATGGAGAAAGATGCTTTTTGGCAGCAAATTATTTATAGCATGGGGCTAACTGGACCATGCTAAACAATCAAAGATTTGTTTAAGAAAATGTATATATATAAAAAAAAAACATTTCCAATGTCCATTTCCCATTTTAATAAGCCTACAAAAAAACTACTATAATATAATGAAATACTCGTGATTTATTCCATTTGTTTTGCTAGCATTCACAGCTACTTTGAATGGCTGTAAATGCAGAAATAAAAATTTGACAGCAAATTAGTTACTGCACTGAGCCATGCTAAGCAGTCTTTATGATATTCCTCATTTAGCTACCCATGCTAGGTCGCCAAAAGACAATAGTAAACAAAAGCCAATGGATGGCGCCCTAAAATGGACCTTTAAAAACACTGCATATATCACTACACTGAAAAAAGGTACAAAAGTTGTCACTGGGGCAATACCCTTCTAAAAGTTAACTAATATGGTACTATTTAGGTACTAATATGTACCTTTAAGACACCAATATGCACCTTTTAGGGGTAAATAAAAGTTGTAACTTTTTTTGAAAGGGTACTGCTACAGTGACATCTTTTGCACCTTTTCCGAGAGTGTAGGGTGGATGGATCAAGTCAGTCAGTCAGTCATTAACGTATTCTTGACCTCCCTCTTCAGACCATTAACGACTGTTCAAGGGTTAATGAGCTTTAAACCAAACAAGTTCTTCACTCTCGCTCTCTCTCTCTGTCTCAGATTCAGAGCGGCATTTGTGGACGAGCTGCCCGAGGGTTCATCTCAGTTCGACTTGCTTTGCAGTCACATGCGTTTGGACCTGAGGGAGGTGATGCCCCAGAATGCTGTCTTCATCACGGTCTTGCGAGACCCAATCAAGACCTTTGAGTCAGTCTTTGGGTACTACACCTCCACCGTCCCAGCATTCCTCACTGCGCATCGAGCTGCCGCCATCGAAGGCAAATCTGCGCTCTCTGTGTTCCTGGACTCTCCGGAGATCTTCTGGGACCCGAAGGAACCTGGGAACGGTCTTGCCAAGAACCCAATGAGCTTTGACATGGGGTTCAACAACCAGAAGTGGAACGGCTCCTGGCCAGAGGACTTGGCGCAACTGGAGGAAGCGTTTCACCTGGTGATGATCGCAGAGCACTTTGACGAGTCCCTGGTTCTCCTGGGAGCTCTTCTCGGACTGGAACATGAGGATTTGGCTTACCTTCGGCTCAATGTTCGTGCCAGCAACAGCGTGACGGATCTGGACGAGAACATGCAGGCGAAAGTGCGATCGTGGAATGTGCTGGACACACTGCTCTACGACTTCTTTGTGCAGGTGTTCTGGGAGAAGGCGTCTCAGTTCGGGATGGAGAGGTTGAAAGTGGAGGTGGAACAGCTCAGGGCCTTTACGGAGGATGTACGACGGAAATGTGTGTCCAGGGCTGAGGTTCCTCCGGGAGAGCTGGAGGACTTGCTGCGCCCATGGCAGACGGAGACAGCCACTATTGTGGGATATGAGGTGCAGGGGAACCTGTCGCTGCAGGATCAGGGGTTCTGCATTCGGATGATGCTTCCTGAGCTTCAGTATCACTCGCACTTGTACTTCAAGCAGTATGGTAGAGATATGAGAGCCGCTCCAGCTGACTGAAGTCTTGGACCAGGTGGGATTCAATGTCTCAGGCCTGGTCTTGGCTAATGGGACTCCATCAACTCTTCACAGAACAAGTCTGGTGGAGTTGAACTAAGATGGAGCATTGCACCATCAAAATGCAAGTCCTAGATAAAACAGGATAGCAACACTCCTTCCCCAAACAGTGGTCTACATCAGTGGTTCCCAACCTATGTCCTGGAGGACCCCAAACAATACACATTTTGGATGTTTCTCTCATCTGACAAAACCATTTCAGTTCTTGGAGTTTTTACTAACAAACTGATGAGCTGAAAAAGGTGTTTCTCATTAGGACAGTGGTATCCAATGATCCTGCTCCTGGAGGGCCAATGTTCTGCAGAGTTTAGCTCCAACACATCTGCCTGGAAGTTTCGAGTGATCCTGAAGACTTTGATTAGCTGGTTCAGGTGTTTTATTAAAGTTGGAGCTAAACGCAGGTCAGTGGCCCTTTAGGAGCAGGATTGGACACCACTGGATTAGGAAGACGTACAAAATTTGCAGAGTTGAGGGTACTTTAAGACCAGGATTGGGAACCACTGGTCTACATCGATGACCTAAACACGAAACTGATGGAGAAACATATTAACTTGCATTTGCACAAAGATCTGCACTGCGATAACTATTGGTTATCTGTACGACACTTACAACCTTTGCTGTAAACCATGGGTGTCCAATTCTGCTGAGGGTCACTTTCCGGCAGAGGTTATGCTGCCTTCACATGTTACTGGAAATTTCCCACTGCCCAATTTTTAAATCAGAATTATGAGTTTGTTGCATTTAAGTGCTTTGTTGTTGGGAAGAATAGGAATCATGGAGGACACCAGATTCATTCCTGCCTATTTCTTGGGGAAAAGCAATAATATTCTGAAGATATTTAATCAGGATCCAATGAATTTTGAATTAAATGCAGCGTCCCATTCTTTGACAACCATATAAATGTTAACTGCACTATTGTATACATTTACCATACTAGATTCTAAAGTTTCAGTCGAATAAATGCTATTTTCGTAATGTAAAATAATACAATATGCATCAAACGGTTATTTATATATGTAAATATATAGATGGCTGTAATGGCAAGAGAAAAAAAAAGTAGAAGCTGTGAAAAAAAAACATACCAGTTACTATATAAATAGTTCTGTCTTCTTGCATGTTCAAAGTTCATGGCTTGGAAAGTCAGGTATCCAAATTATCTACAGGTTTCCCAGTTGCAAATATGACTTGAGAATATTTGAGAATCATGTCTATTTTCCATTTTGGCTTTATAGACCTCATTTCAAGAGGGAATTGCAGGGGGTAAATCAGGAATCAAAAAAATTAAATGAAATGAAATAAATAAATAATCAATATAAAATAAAATAAATATCTCAAGGAGTAAAAAACAAATACATTTGATTTATGTATTTATAAAACGATCAGGTTATACTAAGAAATAAAATGAATTTTGAATTGATATTTGTTAACTGATATTGATTGTCAATAGTTGCTTATGTTAACAGCAGATTTGTTGCTTAACCAGAGAAGTTAAATTGGTCTGTATAAATATACAAAGATGTAAAAACCTAATGAAAACTCTGAGAATCAACTCTAAGAATAACGAGAATACCGGAAAATAAACACCTCAAAAGTACTGGTAATGAAAACATGTCATAAGAATTTGGGTAGAAATGTGTGTCAGAACACCAACAACAAAAAAAAAGAGGTGATGTGAAATGTTTTACTTTATCTCTAAAAAATTAACATGAAAATAAAAGCTCTCCATTTATACAGTAGTTAGACAAACAGCAAAGCGCATAAACAGAGACTAAATCACAGTGTTTACAACAGCCAAATCCCATGTTTGCCCGTCAAAGAGTAACATCTGCACCTCGTCTGTCCGAGAGCCTCACTGTCTGCTGTCATTAGCATCACACCAAACACATGTAATCTGCTTAGCCACCTGCTCAGCGAACTCGTCACATCCTCCTGTATGGTGCCTTTACACACGACAACTACAGAAAAACAAGAAAATAACAGCAGCAGTCTGTAAAAAAGCACCTACATTCACCCACGTTCTGGACACACAAAATAGTCCAGCTCTCCTTGACATGCCAGTGAGTGTGGCAGTCTTGATCACATGACTGAAACTGGAGGAAGTACTGAAGCACCAAACAGGAAACAGAGTCTGTGCGTCACAAGAGCACAAACTCCTCCAAACAGCTCTTCTTTTTGATTCGGCCCGGCCTGTCTTTGGACTTTATATGAGTGAATGAGTCTGACGTACAGCTCATCTCCTCCTCATTATGACCCTCCACAAACGTGAAGATGGGGTACTTCTCCTCGGATGATGTCAGAGCCTGTCCATCAAAGGAAAGATGGAGGGAAAGTCTGATATTGCAGGATTTTAGACGCATAATATATTCAGACAAGCTTCGGTTTTGTAGCATGTGCTTGTCTTCCTCTCACCTTAGTGACGTCTGAGCACAGAGCCTGGAAATCCGCTCTGCTTCCGGCGTAAAAACCCACCGTACAGCTCGGGTCCATGCGGTTAAACGGCATCTTCCTGACAGTTTTACAGTGAAACGACTGCACCGAGAGACAGACAAACACATAGAGACATTATTCAATTCAGTTTATTTGTAGAGCGCTTTTAACAATGCATATTGATTCAAAGCAGCTGCACAGAAAAAGCCTGTCATTGTTCAAGTGTCTGTGCACAGTGTGGAAGCTAGTAGCGCTCACTGCATGGCAGATGCTCACTTGCTCTTAAAGTACTCCCTCATTTTTGCTCATACAGATAAGGGCATTACATCTTTCAAATCTGTAAAGACTCTACGTTTAGTTGTGTGCACTCACAATAACAACAAAACATTGCGCTTTTGTAAAATAATGAAAGCAAACAAGATGCGCTTTCTGCCGTCTCGGTCTCTGTGAACTTGAGCACGAAACTCTGTGTATGCTTGCCTTACAAACATAAAAAATATAGAAAGAGAGTGAAATGTCTACTTTCAAATTAACTAATTTCAATGGAAAACAAAAGACTCTACGTTTAGTTGTGTGCACTCACAATAACAACAAAACATTGCGCTTTTGTAAAATAATGAAAGCAAACAAGATGCGCTTTCTGCCGTCTCGGTCTCTGTGAACTTGAGCACGAAACTCTGTGTATGCTTGCCTTACAAACATAAAAAATATATAGAGAGAGTGAAATGTCTACTTTCAAATTAACTAATTTCAATGGAAAACAAATATTCTCAGATCATGTATGAAACATGCATACAGGCACATCACTACTGTGGAGATGACGAGTCAGTGTCGCTGACTACATCTCTTAAACAAACAGCTACTAACCTCAGTGACGTCTGAGCACAGAGTCTGGAAATCCCCCCTGCTGGCGGCGTAGAAACCCACCGTACAGCTCGGGTCCATGCGGTTAAACGGCATCTTCCTGACAGTTTTACAGTGAAACGACTGCACCGAGAGACAACAAACAGGGGCATGAATATATTCAATTCAAATTTATTTGTATAGCGCTTTTTACAATGCATATTGTTTCAAAGCAGCTCTGCAGAAAATGCATGTTTTTGAATGTTACAATAAGTCTTCTCTAATAATATGAAACTATAATATATACAATATACTAATATATACTCGCCTATCATTCATCGACCTCATGGCTTATCATCTGAAATATGTTAGTAGCAGCAACTTTACATGGCCGCTCAATCTGATGTTAATCTAGAAATATGTGCATTGTTCAAGTGTCTGTGCACAGTGTGGAAGCTAGTAGCGCTCACTGCATGGCAGATGCTCACTTGCTCTTAAAGTACTCCCTCATTTTTGCTCATACAGATAAGGGCATTACTACTAATATATAATATATACTAATATATACTCGCCTATCATTCATCGACCTCATGGCTTATCATCTGAAATATGTTCGTAGCAGCAACTTTACATGGCCGCTCAATCTGATGTTAATCTAGAAATATGTGCGTTGTTCAAGTGTCTGTGCAGAGTGTGGAAGCTAGTAGCGCTCACTGCATGGCAGATGGCTCACTTGCTCTTAAAATACTCCCTCATTTTTGCTCATACAGATAAGAGCATTACATCTTTCAAATCTGTAAAGACTCTACGTTTAGTTGTGTGCACTCACAATAACAACAAAACATTGCGCTTTTGTAAAATAATGAAAGCAAACAGGATGCGTATTCTGCCGTCTCGGTCTATGTGAACTTGAGCGTGAAACTCTGTGTATATTTGCCTTTCAATGGAAAACAAATATTCTCAGATCATGTATGAAACATGCATACAGGCACATCACTACTGTGGAGATGACGAGTCAGTGTCGCTGACTACATCTCTTAAACCGAGAACAAAAAAAGCACTAGTTTATCAAATTATATTAAAATGTTAATGCAGCCACCTTACTGTTTTTCCCTGACACATTCATAATCATTACTTCTGCGGTGCACTGTGGCAAGCTTTATGCGTGTGCTTGAGCGCTTATTAGGCTATGTAGGCAATTAAAGGCTCATTATAATGATTTAAATAGTTTATTAATAAATGTATAATTAGTCGACTAATGCTTCAAATGAATGACTACTAGTTGACCAGAAAAATCTTTAGTCGAGGGTAGCTAATGTGTATATATTAGGGGTGTAACGGTACACGTATTCGTACCGAACCGTTTCGGTACGGGTCTTTCGGTTCGGTACGCATGTGTACCGCACGAATACAGTTTTGTTTTTTTTGTTTTTTTTCTTCTTCTCAGGAAATTCAAATAATAAATGGCGTTTTGACCGTCTTTTATGTGGCATGACAGATCGCTGTATAAACGCCTTGGAGAGCCGCTTCTGGGACGGTTCAGAAACGTGCTGGTATAATCCCAACACAAGCACTGACTAGAGCGGCCGCTATCAGCTCCGGTTCCCGTGTCTGAGCCGTGACGCCCCGCAGATTTGTGCAGAGCGGAGCGCGAGTGAACGCGATCATTCCTTCCTCTGTACTACTAGTTTTAATGCGAATAAACATGACTGAACATCTCATGCCTCATGTAATTGCTCAATCGGTGTTTCAACCGCGGAAAGACATCAACAATACAGCGTGGAAATAAAATGTCACGTAGCATTTAATTTACCTCAGCAAGTCATCAGTGTCCACAGCTCGTTAGTTCACTAGAGAAATTAAGTCTAGAGAGGAGCATTTTGCGAAATATTACACCATATACTCATTATATTTTACTAAACCTGTTAGTCTTAATTACTTAATGTACAGTATGTTTAAATTAATCTGTTATGAAACATGCTATGACAGCCATTGTGTAATTGAATATATTTTAACAAATAGCTTAGAAATTGTATTATTTATAAGTTAATTTAAAAATTTGATCATCTATTTAAAAATAAATAGCAATTAAATTTAAGTTTGGGTTAAGTTGTTAGGCCTAATTGTAACCTTATAATGTAAAAGGGCTCCCTATAGTTTTAAGCATAAGCTGAGGTAGATTTTTATCACTAAGAAAATGTAAACTATAACTGAATGTATTTAAAGAAAGAGCAACTTGTTCAGTAAACCATAAAAAAAAAAAAAAAAAAAAGTTTCCCCCCTGCTGTACCGAAATCATACCGAACCGTGACGTTAAAACCGAGGTACGTACCGAACTGTCATATTTGTGTACCGTTACACCCCTAGTATATATAGTTTTTTATTACATTGTATTTCAGCAAATTTTTATTTAATTGAAAATGAAAAATGTTGCCTTGGTAACCAGATAAAAAACAAATAAGATTTTTTTTTTTTTCATTTTAATTAATGAAATGATTTAAATTTTAGTTAACTATAAGGAGGCATTTATATACTTTTATAGTTTTGATTAATATTTTGAATCAGTTTTCATTTTTATATTTTCCATTTTAATTATAATTTTAATTGAAGTTGTAAGCAATTTTGTTCCGTGTTTTTGTCATTTATATTAGTTTTTTTATGTATGGTATGTAGAGGTCTTGATTTCTATTTTAGTTTTTGTTTTAGTCATTTTAGTACTTTAAACAAAAATAGAAATATGTTGACTTGGACACTATCTGAAATAAAACAGATTTAAAAAATAATAATAATTAAAATGTATCTTATTTAAATTAAAAATAACCAAACACAGACGTCAAACAGAAACATTAACATATAACTATAGTTTATTTTCAGTTTACATTTTTATTTTCTGTTTTGAAATTTTTTTATTTTAATTTTAGATTTTAATTTAGTACAGTTTTTGCCATGTACTCGTTTTTTTTAATATATAGATTTATTAATTATTCATTCAGTTTTTGTTTTAGTAATTTAGTACTTCAACCTGAAAAAAAAAACTAACTGAAATAAGTTTATTGTATTTTATATTAGTTCAATTAATGTTTACTTTTTCAAATAAAAAAAAAAGTTTTTTAATAGTTTTAGTTTTAGTTAATTATAATAACCCTGTAAAAGAGAAACGGAGGTGTTTATTAGTATGTTCATTCAGCTCTTTTTCATATTATGAAAGCAGATGGTGACCAGATGGTGATCAAGCTCCAAAAAGAACAAAAAAATGTCATAAAAATATGCACAAGTGCAGTATTTAATAATTTTATTTGGACTTTGATAGTCCCTGGTTGCTGTATCTATGACATTTGGATGTGGAATAAATTGGTTTTCAGGCAAACTATCCCTTTAAATATGGGCTCACCTCTAAAGGGAAGTTGTCTTGTTGGACGTCTACAGCAGCCTGACAGTAATGAGGATCCAAATAGATCAGCTGATCATCTGCATGAAGCACACAGAAAACCACAAACACACAGACGCTGAGCGATTCGTTACATATTACAAACACAAATGCACGTCACGTGACTCACCCTGGAATCCCACGAAAAACAGCGAGTGTTTGGGTTTCCCTCCGATGATTCCCATGCAGCATTGCAGCTCTAGCAACCTCTGCGGACACAGAGAGAGAAAACATGAGCTCAGACCATCACAACAACATCACTTCACGTCTGTGTGTGTGTCGTAACACACCTTCACACATCGGGTATAAGCCGGATTCAACATATCAGAGCCCAAACGCACAGGCACCAGCAGAACCAGTGACTTCCAGCCAGACCTGCACCTCGCTGACAGATCTGTACGGGACGTCCCACACAGGTTTAACACGTCTCCAACATACACTACAGAGAAACGCAGAGATTTAGTGCTGAGGTGTTACAGCCTGTACACAAATGATCCATGATTATTGCAGTTCGTGCCAACTTTGCAGGTAATTTCCTGCGAAAATAAAGACAACGTCCAGATGAGCACAAAACATGGGATCTAAAACGGACTAGGATTCATTGCTAAATCATGACTGACTGACCGGTGCAGTTCTCCGCCACGTAGACCGCCAGATCGGACACCTCGGACGCTGCCACGGCCTTCCTGAAACACACGAACAAACGAACATTTACCTTCAACTATCACTGAAAGGACTCTATATTTACATGCAATTCAATTTATAATATGAACATTAATATATTAATGTTTTTTTTCTTATGTTGCATATGACATTACTGAAATGTATAAATGGCAGCAATACACCATGAAATGCTTTGCATTACAGTGATTTTACCATAACATTAGCTAAATCTAAAAATACTAAAAACATTTATATTATTTCAACATTAAAGGTCACATATTGTACACCTTTCTGGAGTTTTATTTGAGGTTTTGATGTCCTTAAGAATATATATTTGCGGTATAAGTACCAAAAACCATCTCAATATATTTTACAGCTCCTCTCTCAGGAGCTCTGCTGAGAACAGATCGATTTTTGCCTGTCTAATTAATATTCATGGGCCTCTCTTCTGATTGGCCTGTTGTGTCTGTAATGACAATACCGTGATATTTTTGCTTAAGGTTATCATACCGTCAAAATCTCATACCGGCCCATGCCTATTCGCGATGCATCGATTTATTGTCCCAGCCTTAGTATAGTGTCTTACGCATTTAAACTAAATATTACTACAACTAAATGTACACTAAAATTAACTATTCACCAATTAATTGCATTTATTAATAATAAAAATCAATAAAAGTAATTTGATCAGTGTATTGTTTAGTTTTACTAATGTTTAGTGCATTAAAGGGTTAGTTCACCCAAAAATGAAAATTCTGTCATTAATTACTCACCCTCATGTCGTTTCAAACCCGTAATACCTCCGTTCATCTTCGGAGCACAAATTAAGGTATTTTTGATGAATTGTATGAATGAGAGCTCTCTGACCCTCCCATAGACAGCACGGATCCGTACACGATCAAGGCTCAGAAACGTATAAGGAGATCGTAAAAGTAATCCATGTGACATCAGTGGTTTAACCGTAATTTTATGAAGCTACAAAAAAACTTTTTGTGCTCAAAGAAAACAAAAATAACGACTTTATTCCACAATTCATCTCCTCCGTGTCACCCTGGCGCCATTTTGGAGAATATCCATAGCGTAAACAGCGTACGCTATTCTGTGTCAGCTGCGTCACCACTGATGTCACATGGATTATTTTACCGATCTCCTTGCTATGTTTCTGGACATTGATCGTGGTAATTACATTGTTGTCTATGGGAGGATCAGAGAGCTCTCAAAATTCATCAAAAATATCTTAATTTGTGTTCCGAAGATGAACGGAGGTCTTATGGGTTTGGAACGACATGAGGGTGAGTAATTAATGACAGAATTTTCATTTTTGTGTGAACTAACCCTTTAATACAGTGCTCAGATCTGTGGTCACAGGTGATAGTATATCGGCTTCAAATATAGCTCATCCAATCACATTCATATTTCCTCACATTTATGCATGTGGCAGTTCATGAAGTCCCCCTGTGCTTTAACCCACTGCATGGTTCACTTACTGCAGTATGTGAGCAGCGATGGCCGGTCCGTACCAGTCGCCCGCTCTCTTCCCAGAGGCCCTGCCCAACTCCACCAGCCGGTGCAGGCCGAACGGGGCAGAGGGCAGATCGCCGAACCAGGACACGATCCTCCTGTGAGTCCGCTCCTCGTGAGTCTCGCAGTCTAGCGCGGTTCCCAGACTGCATCTGCGATGCTTTCCCGAGTCACGCCGGCTCTCTCTGAGGGAATCTTCCAGCGCGTGAGTGTCCACCACCTCCAGGTCATCTTTGGTCTGATGATGCGTCGCAGGCCACGTCCAGCCTGAAGAGAGTCAACAAGACCAGATGAATGACGGTCTTATTTTTGTACATAATAAGCAGTTAGTAACTGTGCAAGTATAGTACAACTTAAAATAAAGTTTCCTATGTGAATATGATGTAAAATGTTGCTTATTCCTGTGATGCAATGCTGAATTGTGCTGTATATATATACACACACACCATATTTATGAGACATTTTATTTGAATACATTGTTATATGAAAAAGCTGAATCCAATAATATATTTTTATATGGTAATATATCAATAAAATAAAATAAAAAACAAAGAAAAGAAAAGAAAAGAAAAGAAAGAAAAAAGGGGAAAATGTAAAAACAAAATATTAAACAGGTTTTACAAACTTTTAAAATTTCTTAATTTCATAAAAAATGTTAAAAAAAAATTGTAATTAAAAATTAAATGATGTGTATTTTCATAGTCTTACCACATTATTAAAGTACTAAAGTTATTATTATTATTTATTTTTTTACAAACTATTACAATTTCTTCCAGGTCAAAAATGGTCTTTTGTCCTGATATGTATTATTATAGTCTTTATACATTTTCCAAGTTCAGTCAGACCAATACTAATTAATCCCATACTAAACCCTATGAAACATTTGAAAATTCAGAATGTCTCACAGCTTAAAAAGGTCTGAATGCATTAAAGGGTTAAGTCCATGCAGTGTGTTTGTACCCGCGGGCATCATGTGCAGCATTAGTCCGTGAGCTAACAGCATCTGTGCGCTGCGGAGCATGCAGCCCCATCCCGCGTCAGACGTGAGGGCTGAGCCGTCCAGCAGCGGGAAACCTCTCCTGTAGGTCATCCACAGCAGAGAGGAGAACGCCCGCCGGAAACTCTCCCGCTCTCCTGGGAGAAAAAAACACATGCTTACAGTGAAAACACGACACAGCGAGCCCTCACTCACAGACATAACCGTCCTGTCCTGCTTACCGCTGTAGCTCAGCTGATAGGACTGTCTCAGCAGACACACGGGGCTGCTCTTACTGAGACGCGGCTTGCTCTTCAGAGACCAGCCTGCACAGAAACAGTGTGTCAAGATGACAGATTCATGTTGACAATGTGTGCAGTAGAGCCTGACTTCAAAATCTGGGTTTAGTGAAACGAGTCGTTTAGTGAAGGAGGAAGGTCAAGGTCAAGGTCAAAACAGTAGAACTATCAAACGACTACAAATCTATCAGCTATCATTTGATATAAAAATATACACTACAGTTCCAAATTTTGGAAGAAATTAATACTTTTCTTCATCAAGGACACATTAAATTGATTAAATGTGAAAGTAAATACACTTATAATGTTGCAAAATATTTCTATTTCAAATAAATGCTATTCTACTGAACTTTCTATTCATCAAATAATCAAAGAATCCTGAAAAAATTAAATATATCAGTTTCCACTTTCCACAAAAATATTCAGCAGCACAACTGTTATCAACATTAATAATCAGAAATGTTTCTTGAGCAGCAAATCAGTATATTAGAATGATTTCTGAAGGATCATGTGACACTGAAGACTGGAGTAATGATGCTGAAAATTCAGCTTTGCATCACAGGAATAAATTACATTTTACAATATATTCACATAGAAAACAGCTATTTTTATAATGATGTTTCACAGTTTTTGTTTGTTTGTTTTTACTGTATTTCTGCTGCCTTGGTGAGCAGAAGAGTCTTCTTTAAACATTTTAAAAATATTACTGACCCCGATCAGCAGTGTATGTGCTGAAAGTTATTTAAAGAAATCAATAGTTATATTCAGTAAGGATGCACTGCATTGATAAAAAGTGACCATTAAGACATCTATAATGTTACAAAATATTTATATTTCAAATAAATGCTGTTCTTTTCAACTTTCTATTAATTAAAGAATCCTGAGAACTGAAACATATCATGGATGGAACTGTTTTCAACATTGATAATAATAAAATGTTTCTTGAGTACTTAAAAAAACACACAAAAAAAGTTTTTATAAAAAACTGATCACACACCTCCATATCTGAGATTATTCCACGCTGAAATGAGTTTTGTTTTGAGTTTGGTCCTGTCCTTTGACTCCTGGACGTGTCCGTCGATGTCTGTGCCCAGATCCAGCAGGCCCGGGTTCGACAGGTTGACCACCTCAAACGACGCGAGGTCATCTGTGGCCTCCATCCCGCTGTCAAACTCATCACTCACATCCATGATCGGAGGGATACTGTTGCCATGACGTCCGGAGTCCCTGCTGTCCAATCAGAGGAGGGATGCGAGCCGCTCTGGCTCTTCTGGATGTTACAGGTACCAGTGAAGCTGTGGGACCATGAAATAAAGGCTAATATGTCACCAGAGGTAGTACACAGCTCTTTAGAGAGAAATACTGAGCCATGTGACACCCATGTGACTGAAGGAATCTGTGTCAAAGCAAATGTTAAGCCACATTATTACCAAACTCCTATCAAAGACACTACAATAATAAAAGTCTTAGATAACTATTACGTGTTTATGCATTAAATACACGTGATGATTTCGGTTTATCTTCATTTTAAAGACGGCATTGTGGCACTACTATGGTAAACTAATGGGAGGTTATGGTACTCTGAGATTTACCATGGTACTGAATGTACATGGCACAGCGTAGTACATACTGTGGTATTACCATGGTACCATGTTCAAATGTACGATATCTCGTCATTATTTTCGAGAAATACAGTGAATTTCAGGTGTGAGAGTTAATTTATACGTTTGTTGTTGACTGAGGTTTGTTGATGCGGAAATCATGTTTATATGTAGATTCACCTCTCGGATAAAAAGACGGGTCACTTTCCGCCACGAAGGCGACTATATTTGAATGACGTGGTAAAATACTTACCTTAAAGGCTGCTTTAACTGTCATGACATTGTGAATATCGCAAGATTTCAGCTGGAAACTTTCCGCAGTAAGTTACAAACATACCGCGACGCCACTGCCTTGATTTCACTGCCTGACTGTAGCTCCGCCCCTTTCCTCCTTCACTCAGCAACGGAGCACGGATCTGTTCTCTGATTGGCTGTCTGGTTCCTTAGCGCTCTCTGATTGGTCAACTGGGTGACTATGTAAGTAGAACTGAATGTCCTCATAAGTATTAGCTAGATCATTATAGCTGGGTTTAATCATATTATGAAATGTTTGGTCTGAGGCAACAGAAAACGGTAAGAGTTTGTACTTTTATTGATTTATTTGTGCTTAATCACATTCAATCTACTGCTAATCAGTAGTTCAAAGTTCAAACTCATATATTACCATACTTTAGGATTGTTGACATTAACGAACACTTCATGAAATTATAGTTTAACTAAGTTTTTTTTATTATTATCTTTTGTTATATAGTTATAGTATTATATTTTATTATCTTATTTTAACTGCAAACATGAAATAACTCTCACACCACATGAACTGGTTGAGGCCTGTCCAATATTAGCCCTAACACTAACCTATAATCTTGACATTGTTAGTCCCTAATCCTGCTAGCCAATATTTAATTTATCATTTAAACATTTATCTACAAACACGTGCAAGAGGACAGATAACACAAAACAAACAATCGGCTTAATTATTATTACTGCAGTTTATTATTCTTTTTTTTTTTTTTTTAAATTGCATTAGTTTATAACATTGCCTGAGGTGAGAAATCATAAAAAAACACTGTAAATACACAATGATATAAGAAGTGAATATACCAAAAAAAAAAAAAAATCACAGGTAAAAAGGAAGATGAGGATTGAGGAAGATTTATGCAAAGCAGCAGTTTTTAATAATCAAACAGGGTGAAAATCTTTCAAATAAAGTTATAAACAAATAAATAAATACAAAGAGATAAATCAATAAAGTGCATTCTGTAACATTGCTTGTACTCATTGTGTGAGTAACGGTGTCTCAGGCAAACGCTATGCCTACAGAATCTCACCACAGACGGAAAACTGACACGATCTATCCTACATACACACACTTCACAGCACAAATCAATCGGAAAACACAATAAGGGCATATAAACCCTACCCAAATATTATTAAACTTATAAAAGATGACATCCTCATAAAAAGTACTGTGGCGTTACCGTGGTACAATGATGGTACCTGATATATACAATGGATCATAGATACCACTGAATCATTAACATATCCATGTATGTTCAAGGTATATGTCTAAAAAATGGTATTATCATGGTACAATATCTAAAAAAAAAACATGATAATACCAAAGAAAATAATCGGGCTAATATATTTGGGTAAAGTGTAAAGTTCTCTATTGGCAGAAGACAGTCAATCAGGGATCAAGGATCAGCTGATTTGGAAGAAAATCATTGCATTAATGTGGCACCAAACACTCCTAAGACATCGCTAGATTCACTACATACAGTCTCCAAAGGACGTTCACACAAACGTGAGAGTGACCATGTGATTTAAAGTGTAAACAGATTGGATCAGTTCCACATGTAACATGAAGCCCCTTCCAGAACATCGTTGCATCTCTCGCAGACCACTAGACATGTCAACCTACTACGTAATAAATTCCTATAAAAGTTGGACACAATGTAGCAAAAGTGAATTAAAAGCCCTGAATGGATTAAAATGTAACACATCTACACATGTACCACCTCACACTTCACAAACTCTTCTGCATATACTAAAAAATAATTCAGGCTTCGTCAGATTTGTAAGAATTCAAGTGTATAATCCACAGTGCATTTACTGGCCTATAATATATATAATCTAACACGATGACATTATAGTGACCCATTTTCTTCATAGAGTTAATCTAATAATCTCAATATCATTTCTTAGCAATGCCATTCTTGAGGTTTTCCCTCCAGTCTCAAGAGTGGCAAATTAAAACTATATACACTCTCCTTGCTTCTTTCCAAAGATATTAAAATTCATCCACATAAAAGTCAACATGAAACGACATCTGCAACCCAATTTACTTCCATAACGGTCATGCTTCCAAATCTATGTTTATGCGCTATTACTGCCATTTTGCTAATTGGCATTAAATTACTCCACTAACTAGTTGATAAAAAGGCTGCATTTTCCTACTACTAGTAGTAGTATATTTTTATTTAATGCCAAGTCAGCATCTTAGGCTATTTTCATGGCAAAAACAATAAAAAAAAAATACAAGTATAACAAATACAATAAAAACCAGCAAACAAACAAACACAAGTTATATTACACAATATTTTTTACATTAACATTCTAAAACTTTTTTCTGGCAAAATTATACTAAATAACTCTTTAAGTGAGTTCACGTCATAAAAGCGTTTTCTACATACATTAAAAGCTGGACAGTCCAATAAAATACATTTGACAGAAAGGGGAATCTTGCAAAACATGCATTGAGTAGGGTCTTCACCTTTAAGCAAAAATGCAGGAGTCAGTCTTGTATTGCATTTTCCTACTAAGTAGCTATTTGACTACAGACCTTAGTCAGGGTGTATGCAGATTAAATAACATAGCAATCCATTAAGAAGTAAATTGATTTCATGTTGACTTTTGCTGGGCATTTCCAGTGTAAATGTAATTAAGACAGCAGAAACAAGCACTTATACACATGGTTCTGTCCTTGTGCAACAATCATTTCCCTTTTCCACCAGTGTAACCCTCCCAAACCTCTAGTTAGGCATTCTGTTGCCTCAAGTATAGCGCTACTGTTGGCAGTTTAACAGTATAGCTGAGGTACTGAACTGAGATCGTTTAGATCTATGTTGTCGGTCACTAGGTAGACACTTTAACTACCTCTCCTTTCTAAATCTGACAAACTGATTGGTTGATATGGTGATGAATGACATGTCATGCCCTCTACAGGCCGGGCAGGGATGATTGGATGTGCAGTGTTCACTAGCATTAGGTCTTTCATTTTTCATATCTTATTACTTTGACTCTTCTATTGACAATATACATGTAACATGCATCTAGAGAGACATACTGGTTTATTCTACGTCCACATATGATGGTGCATATATTCTTATGGCATATGTACAAACAAACATATTTGACAACAGTCATTTTGAAGCACCTTTACTTGTTTACGTTTTTTGTTTATATCTTGGTTTGATGGCTGTAGAGTCTTTTGAATAGTCTGCATTTGGACAATTACAGGGAACGCATCCCATTTAAAGTTCCGAACAGAATATTACTGTTAAGAATATTACAAATGCTTGGAAGAGCTCTTCGATGCCTTTTCAGGCTTTGACGATCCAGGACCGGGCCACGTTCCCGTCAACCCGCGGCGACTCACAGACGAGGTCTCAGACTTTCCCAATGTGGCAGCTCGTTTGTCCTCGTTGGTTTTGGAGCTGTCCTTGGCCTTCCCACCATCCTGAGAGCCCAACTTCATCGGCCCAAGCACGGTTTTAGCCACACTGGTGAGCTGCGTCACGAAGCTGGACCTGTCACCAGGAGATACGGCACGTGATTTGCTTGCGCAAGGCGACCTGGTGGTTGAAGACGGAGAGGCTGGGGACTCTTCAGCCGCTTCCAGGCGACATCTTTCCTCTTGAGGGCCTCTGGTTGACCCCAATGGGGTTTGAACCCGTTCTTCAATAGATTTGGACTTGGCAGGAACTGCTGCTGAGACTTTCATTGCACCAGCAGAACTAGGTCCAGTCCCCTCAATGGTTAGAAGTCCTTTACCTGACTTGCTTGCCTCTGGAGCCATTGTCTGTGCAGTTTTCTCTTTCACTGGAATCTTTCCCATGTCTTTGCCATTTTCCAGCCCTTTAGGACCATTGGTTTGAAGGCTATGGTGTTTGAGTTCCTGTGCTCCAGAGCTCTGGACAACTGGCGTTCGTTCTGGGACCTTGGGACCAGATCCCATTGCATAAAGTGATTCGCTCTTTCCCGCATTCCTGGCTGCCTCCTTCCCTGTCGAGACGACTTGAGAAGACTCAGATTTGGAGGCTACTTTCTCCTTCTGAGGTGGCTCACCAAACTGGGTTGAGGATTTAGGATCCAAAGTGGTTGCTACTGGTTGGGTTTTTGATGCAGTCCTTAAAACGGCTTCACTTGAGTCAGGCTGCCTCGCTTTCCCCTCGGACTCTCTTCCCGCTATCGAGTCCTGTCTCCCGAGCTGCCTCAACGGACTCATTGTGAGTTGAGCGGGTGTGTGTGTTGGCATCTGGTCGGGTGGAGAGGGCGGAGCCCCGGGTGTGTTCTCGCCCTCGATCTCCATCAGGCTCTGGAGGGCATGTTCACAGTGGAACGACTCCCGGCGGTATTCGGCGTGCACAACCTCCAAACCATGCTTCCTCATGGACACGCAAAGCCCTCCTTTTCGGTCCGAGCCCACGGAAGACATGGAGGATGGAAATGAAGGCGGAGGGGGCGGGCCGAGCTTCTCTGCTGACTGCACCCTTTGGAGGAGAGGCGAACGGGGCGGTTCTGCGCTCTTGGGCCGGGGGCGTGTGATTGGAGGAGAGGCGTGGAGCTTGGCGGGGAAGACCTGAGTAGTGTTGGAGCTGCCGACAGTGTGTCCAGCGATGGGCGGCGGGGAAGACGAAGTAGGGGATGGCGTGTGGGCCAGCGGAGACAGAGGAATGTTCCCGACGGATTTGCAGCGAGCAGAACGGTACTGCCGGTGGAGTTTGGGCGAAAGGCCGTAAAGAGAGCTCGGCCGCATGTGCTGAGATGTCGCAGGCGAGTTTGGCGTGCTGGACGCCGGTGAGCTGCTCTGAGACGAGGTGCCTGAGTGGACAAGGACAGAACGGGTCAGAACCTCAAAGAAACATGAAAAGGGCACACAATCAGTCAAAAAACCCAACACTGACTGAAGCCAAATATCAAAGGCTAATTTAGGTCATTTCAACGCACGTCTGCTGGAAAGGAAAGAGGGACCACACGTGACAGAAATGTTATCTTCAGTAGCTCAAATGTCACTCAAGTACATGCTATGAGGCAGAAAGTTTTAATTAAAACTCAATGTTACACATATATTTTTGTTCTCTAGAAAGGCG